GAGGATGAGGATGAGGATGAGGATGAGGATGATGCTGATGATGATGATGATGATGATGATGATGATGATGATGTTGTTGATTATGATGATGATGCTGATGATGATGATGATGATGATGCTGCTGATGATGATGATGATTATCATGATGATGATGATGATGCTGATGATGATGATGAGGAGGAGGAGGAGGAGGAGGATCGGGAGGAGCAGGGGAGGAAGGGAGGGAGGCAGTGTGGGAGGGAGGCAAGGGGAGGCGGAGGAGAAGGAGGAAGAGGAAGAAGAAGATGATGATGATGATGATGATGATGATGATGATGATGATGATGATGATGCTGATGATGATGCTGCATGCTGATTATGATGATGATGCATGATGATGATGATGCTGAGGATGAGATAGGGGCAGAAGGATGAGGATGAGGATGAGATGAGGATGCGGATGATGATGATGATGAGATGATTGATGCTGATGCTGATGTGATGATGCTGCTGATGATGATGCTGATGATGCTGATGATGATGATGATGGATGCTGATGATGATGATGATGATGATGATGATGATGATGATGATGAGATGACATGATGATGATGATCTGATGATGATGATGATGATGATGAGGATGAGGATGAGGATGAGGTGATGATGAGGATGATGATGATGATGATGGATGATGATTGATGATGATGATAGATGATGATGATGATGATGATTGATGATGCGGATGATGATGCTGATGATGATGATGACGATGACGACGATGATGATGATGATTGATGATGATGATGATGATATGATGATGAGATGATGATGATGAGGATGATGATGATGATGATGATGATATGATGATGATGATGAGATGCGATGCTGCTGCTGCTGCTGATGATGATGCTGATGATGATGCTGATTGATGATGATGATTATGATGATGATTGGATGATGAGATGATGAGATGATGATGATGAGGAGGAGGAGGAGGAGGAGGAGAGGAGAGGAGGAGGAGGAGGAGGAGGAGGAGGAGGAGGAGGAAGGAGAGGAGTAGGAGGAGGAGGAGGAGAGGAGGAGGGGAGGAGGAGAGGAGGAGGAGGAGGATGAGGAGGAGGAGAAGAGGAGGAGGAGGAGGAGGAGGAGGATGGAGGAGGAGGAGAGGAGGAGGGGAGGAGGAGGAGGAGGAGGGGGTGAGGGGGAGGGGGAGGGAGGTGGAGGAGGAGGAGGAGGAGGAGGGGAGGAGGAGGAGGAGGAGGAGGAGGAGGAGGAAAACGAGAAGGATGGGGACTTCTTACGCTTGTCGCCTTGCTGGGCCTGCTGGGCCGCCCCGTCGCCACGGCTGGATCCGCCTCGGAGCCCTGGCCCGAGCGCGCTCCAGGAAGGGATTGCGGGCCGACTCCGATGGAGAGGCGCCTACACCGCCACCGTGTGGAAAAAATTGCTCCAGTTGTTTTTTTCGGCAGCCTTTGTATACTTGCCTGCGCCTGGGTGCGCCCGCGACGCCGCCCCGCGCCGCTGCCAGGGGCTGCCCCGCAGCCTGGCCGCCCCGCGCGCTCCCCGCGGCGCCGCCGCGTGAGAGTGCCCCCGCCTCCCTTTTTCGGCGGCCGCCCTCTTCTCCCCTGCCCCCCCCTCATGCGGGACAATTCGCAACTCCGCAACCTGGTTTGGCCCCATGCGCGAGCGGATCGCCTCTGCCGTTCCGGAACGGAAGACGGACGGAAGCATGTACATGCCTATCACATGTCGGTGCACGTTGCGTCCCTGGTTGGCCTGGTTAGTTGTCCTCTCACTTTGCTGTTTCACGGGTTGGCGCTGCCGTTGCGGTGTGGTTTTCGACACGTGTTTCCGGGCAGCCTGGGCCTCCTGGTTGCCATCTCCTGGTGTCGGTGATGCCAGCGCGGAGCTCCCGAAAGTCCCGGACTGACTGGGGCCTTGCCGGGCGTCCGCGGCTGCGCATCGCGCCTGCTGTTCGCTGGCAAGCAAAACCCACACCTTGGCTTCTTGGCCCTGGAACCATCGACGACGGCCTGCGACACGCGGCAAACCCAAAGAGCGGGCCGAGAGCTCCAGAGGCCCTCCGTCGTGGAATAGCCTTGGCGTCGGAATTGGGCGCTGCCGCTATCGGGCGTGGCCAGGCTAGACGATCTTCGGGGCATGTGTTGGCCCTGTTTGTGTGTGTGTGTGTGTGTGTGTGTGTGTGTGTGTGTGTACGTGTGTGTGCCCCTATCCGCCAGCGCAGTCACTCTGCCTAGCCGCCGACGAGAAAAGTGCGTGTGTGTGTTACCCCGTTCAGCTCCACTGGTAGCCCGCAGCTAGTGTCTTGTGGGAGTTCCACTGGTACCGCTTGCCATGGATCGGGTGGAGGAATGCACGTTGGCGCTAATGACGTGCTGACGATCATCGGCAGGACGGGGCTAAAGCGCTCCAGAGCGTTTCAGGACGCTTTCCGAGCGGTGCAGGGCGCTCTGCAACGGCCGCGGCGCCCGATGCATTTTCCAGACACGGTGGATCTCAGATATCCCCAAGTTGTCCTGGCCGGAAACGTTCTTGATCCTGGCTTCTTCTCGCATTGCCCGTTGGTTGTTTTCATCGACCCAGGGATGGTTGTTGTCCCCCCAGCGGCTGGTGGCAGTTGGTGTTCCGGGTGAGTTTGAAGACGGTGCTGCCGATGCCCTGATCCGATCTTGTGCCAGCCGCGTTTTTGGCTCGCCGCGGCTGCCCCAGACCGCCGCCAGCGACAGCAACGCCGACGTCGGTGACGACGCCGAAGCCGACGATGGTCGTTGTCGACCACGGCGGTCGGCGTCGTCGACGCCGACGCTAATGCCCGCGGCGTCGAGGCCGACGGCGACGGCGATGACGCCGACGACGCCGCCGACGCCGCCGCCGACGCCGACGCCGACGCCGAAACCGACGGCGACGGCGACGCCGAAACCGACGACGACGACGCCGCCGACTCCGCCGACGCTGGCGCTGCGGCGCCTCGGGGCAAGGCGGGCGAGTGCATGTTCCAGCTGCAACGAGCCCATCGCGCGAAGTCGGCGCCGCTGAGCGCCGAGTCCTCGGCGGCTGGTCGTCGTCTTCGTCCTCGTCCTCGTCGTCGTCGTCGTCGTCGTCGTCGTCCTCCTCCTCCTCCTCCTCCTCCCTCCGAGGAGGATGGGGAGGAGAAGCGATGGAAGGTAGAGGGAAGGGAAGGGTGGGGGATGGTGGGGTGGAGGAAGGAAGGGAGGAGGAAAGGAAGGAGGGAGAGAACGAGGAGGAAAAAAAAAAGGAACAATAATGATAAGACGATTAATGCCAATAGTAATACGTATAAGAATAAGAACAATAATAATGATAATGCTGGTAATACTAATAATAAAAATGCTATTATGAAGAAGACGATTAATAATCATACTAGTAATGGTAGTAAACATGATACTAATAATAATATTCCGAATGCTATTAATGAAAAGAAGACTAATAATAACACTAACATTAATAAGGACACGAATAATAATAGTATTACTAATAATATTACTAATAATAAATATCAGTTTACTTGTAATATTAATACGAATAATACTACCAATAAGAATAATACGAAGAAAAAGATGGTTAATACTATGAGTAATAAGAGGAAGCGCATGAATAACACTAGTAAGACAAACAAGAACAATACACATACTAACAACAATAATAAGAGTAATAAGAAACACGCATAATACTACGAGCAGTAATAATATTAATATTGCGAATCACAAGCAACATACTAATAATGATAAGAATAATAATAATCATATTAATACTAATACTAATAATACTAATAATAATACTACTACTAATAATAACAACAATACTAACAACAATGCTAACACTACTAAGACTAATAATAGTAATACTAGTAATACTAACACTAAAATTACTACTACTACTACTAGTACTACTATCATTATTAATAACAATACTAACGCTATTATTCTTAATAATATTACTAATAATATTAATAATAATAGTAATCATAATATAAACACTAATAGTAATACTAATAGTACGAATGATACTAATAATAAGAAAACTAAGTAGAAGAAGTTGAGGAGGAAGAGGAGGAAAAGGAGTTGAAGGAGGATCATCAGGAGGATGAGGGGCATTGGATTGGACACCTTCGTTTGTCAGGCTGGGATAAGCCAGCGAATGGAGCGGGAGTAGTTCCACGACCCTTCCTGCCGCACGGGGCAGCGAGCGTGCCAGGCCAGGGCGGGGACCTACGTGCCCAGACTCGCACTCTCACCCCAACCTGTCAGAGCCACCCGCCAGAGCGCTTGCAAGCGCTTGCTCCCACGTCTTGCCGCGGCCTGCGGAGGCGAGGAGGAGGAGGAGGAGGAGGAGGAGGAGGAGGAGGAGGAGGAGGAGGGGCCGCGCGCCCTACCTTCATCCCTGGAAGGCCTTCATGAACACCCCGCCGCCGTGCGCCTCGCAGAGCTGGGCGCCGAACCGGCGCGTGCGAACACGGCGCCTACACACAGAATGCTCAGGTGGCACACCAGGAGGCCAGTCTGCGCGACCCACAAAACCACTCCAACCCAACCCGAAGGCCTCAATTTGCCCTCCATTTCCAGTTGGTGGGTCGGGGAACATTGAAAAAACACACATGAAGCCCGTACCCCCCCAACCCGCAATTCGGGTCTTCGGGTTGGGTTGGTTTGTCCGGTAGGTAGTCAAGTCGGCGCGACTGCCCTGTTCGTGGCACATGTTCACGCCCTTGTCCTTGTTCTTGCCCTGGCCCTTGCCACCTGCCAGGACCCAGAGAGCCCGGAATGTGCCTACGATCCGATGGAGGGCCAGCGATGAAAAGCGCCCTGCACGGTCAGGCCGAGCAGAGGCAGACGCAGTGGCCGAGGCACAGGGACGCACCACCACATCACGCTCCTCGCTCTTGCCCTCGCTCGTGCCCGTTTCCTTGCCCGTGCCCTGGACCACCGAGGGGCGAGAAGCCGGAGGAGCCGAGCGAGCGGGAACGCCGCGCGCAGGGGCCCGAGGAGCACCCGGAGGGCCGCCTCCGCCCGCTGCCGCAGGCACGCCGCCCTCGGCAGCGCGGCGCGCCTCGGCGGGCGCGGCGGCGTGCGGCCGCAGCGCGGCATCAAAGGGCGCCCGCGGGGCGCGGAGGCTGCGCGCTGTGGCGTTGCGGGCGGGCGGCGCCCGAGGCACGCGGCGGGTGCGCCGTGCCGGGGGGCCTCCGCGCGCGGGTGCTACGAGCCCGCCTGGCCGCCGCCGAGCGGGGGGGGGGGCGTTCGCGCTCCGGCGCTGCGGCACCGGCTCGCGGCACCACGGCATGGCCGGGGAGGGCGGGGAGGCGCACGGTTATGTCGGGCGTGTCCCCCTGCAGGTAGATTTTTCGAAGGAAAAATAAAGAATCGTCAAAACATGGTGTTCAAACATGTTCAAACGTGGTGAAAAATCGTCCCCAGACTATATATATATATATATATATATTATTTTGCAAGGGACAGGCCCGACTTACAGGCACGGGGCGGGGAGGGCGGCGCGGCAGGCGCCAATGGCGCGGGCCGGCAGCCAGGCCATGCCTGTGCCGAGCTGGCTCCAGGATTCAGTCAGGCCTGTCCCTCTACAGGAGGAGCATTCAGACATAATCCAAGAATAGTCTCGGGACGATGTTTCCACGAGTTTTTTTTTTTTTTTTTTTTGTTCCCCCCCCCATTTTTAAATATTTGTAGGGTATTTTTTGTGGCCAAGCCGAGGGAGTCAGCGGCCCGCCCGCTCCCATCCTCCCTCTCATGACATCAGAACGATTTGCGGCACAACTTGACGTTGAGGCTGGAGCGCGTTCCCACCCAGCGAACGGAAGGCGCTGGCGCGCGGTCCTGCTTCCGACGACTTGGGGAGGGAAAGAACACGCGTGCCGCGCACCGGCAGGAACGTGACTTCAGAAATCCTCGCGCGGCGCTGCGGCGAGAGCACCCGCGAGCATTATCTCGGGCGGCCAAATGTCATCGGCGGCAAGCGAGGGGGGAAGTGAGAAGGGGCGGGCCTTCGCAGAAGGCTCGGAAGTCCCCCAGCCTTCTGAGAAGTTTTCGAAGCCTTTCCCGAGGACGCAGGAAACTTCTCAGAAGGCGCGAGGGCTTCTGAGAAGTCCCGCCGCCTTCTGAGGAGGCCTCCTCCTTCTCACTTCCCCCCTCGCTCGCCGCCGATTTCAGGTGAGCGCGAAAATCGGGTGCCGCGCATAAGGGAGACATCACTTGTCAGGGGAAGGAGCGCGGCGCTCAGGCGCACCGTCGTTTTCCGCGCTTTCGCGCGCGTCGTGCGCCCCGAACCCGCTCCTGCCACGCATTTCGGCACGTCGACGCCAAGATGGCCATGTAGAAAGGTTTGTATTCTCTCGTTTGGCATCATTAAGTCGGCCACGTCCCCCTACAGGAGGACCGTTCAAAGATAGTCAAAAATAGTCAGGGGATACTTGTATGACTATTTTTGATCATTTCTGTTTTTTGACTATGTTTAGTTTCTCGCCCAAAATCTGCCTGCAGGAGGACATCCCCGACCGAATGGTAGCATGGGAGCTTCGCGGGTGGGGTCGCTATCTGCCGGCACGGTGGCCTGGTCAGAGTCGTTCCAGGTTGCTCAGGAGTGATGAAAGGATGGGAGAGGCGTGGGGTGCCAAGGAGGAAGAGGAGGATCAGGTGGAAGGGAAGGACAAGGATGACCGGGCTGGGAAGGCGCTCGAGGGCGAGCGGGTGCGGGGTGTGACGGCACCGCGGCCACGGCGGCGGCGCCGCGGCGGCGGCAGCTACGACGCGCTTTGATCGCCGGCTCTGCTCCTCGCTGGCGCTCGCCCGGGGCGCGGGACGCGAGCACGCCTGTCCAGCGGAGCTCCCGATAAAGGGGCTCTCGCGGCTTCTGCTGCAGGCAGCGGGCCCCGTGCGTCGCCGTCGCCGTCGCCGTCGCCGTCGCCGTCGCCGTCGTCGTCGTCGTCGTCGTCGTCGTCGTCGTCGTCGTCGTCGTCGGTGTCGTCGGCGTCGGCGTCGGTGTCGGCGTCGGTATCGGCGTCGCCGTCGTCGGCGTCGTCGTCGTCGTTAATCGCGTCGTGGTCGTCGTCGTCGTCGTTCACAGCGTCGTCGCCATCGTCGTCGTCGTCGTCGTCGCCGTCGTCGTCGTCGCCGCCGTCGTCGTCGTCGTCGTCGTCGTCGTCGTCGTCGTCGTCGTCGTCGTCGTTGTCGTTAACGGCGTCGTAGTAGTCGCTAACATCGTCGCTGAATCGTCGCTGACTTTTTCGTCAATGTCGTTGTCGTCGTCGTTTTCGTCGGTTTCGTCGTTTTCGTCGTCGTCGTGGTCGTCGTCGTGGTCGTGAGCACTTGCGTCGACTCATCGATTAGTCAGGCGGAGGAGGGGGAGGAGGAGGAGGAGGAGGAGGAGGAGGAGGAGGAGGAGGAAACGCCACAGCACTCGGCGAAGGTTTGCCCAACGAGAAATAGGAGGCTGAGGAGGGGCGGACGTTGGACCTGCGCTGATTCAGCAGGCGTCGGTGCAGACGCAGTGCGCCGCCCCCTCCCCGGCCCTGTCCCCGTGGGTCCCCGCAGGCATCCCTCGCCGCTTCGGGGAGCGCCCCTCGGAGTGACGAGCGCCTCCTCCGCCCTGCCAGTTTTCGGGCGAGAGCTGCCCCCCATCATGTGGTCGTGAAGGCCCAGGAGCTTGTCCAACGCACATGTGATTTTGAAAATTCGCCGCCCTCCATCGGTGTAAGTGCTGTATGTGGCCTCCCGGTTTGGTCCGTGTGTGTATGATATGCGTATGGAACACAAACCATGGGAAGTTCGATCGTTATTTCCGTGTTGACTAGGAACTTCCTTCCATCCGTCCAACTGAGGCGCAATTTCCAATACATGGTCGTACGTCTCCAATCGAGAGTTTCCATGTTGTAAGTAGCCGCCCTCATTCAGTATGCGTGTTGCACGCTTTCAGGGCGCATGTGCGCGGTGCTGCAGCGATAACCACATGGTCAAAACGACCTCACACCCATGTGTGCAGCTGTCGTAACGTTTCAGCGTGAGTATGCACTCGGGGAACCTCCTGCCCGCCATCTGTGCATATGTTTGGCACTTCGAGCTTTTAGGGGCATCGATCTGTGAGGACGGCTCAGGCGAACCGCCCTTCGCGCCCTGTCGGCACGCCATGCGGCGCGACGAGGAACACAGTTCCCCACTCAGAGCTTGTTTTTGTAGAGGTCCTAGCGGATTCATATGTTTAGGTGAGCTTTGCCGCCGATTTCCGCGGCCCGCCCGGGTGCCCGGGTGCCCGGGTGCCTTATAGCCCTATAGCCCTATAACCCTATAGCTTTATAGCCTTATAGCCTTACAGCGCCATAGCCCTATAGCCCTATAGCCCCATAGCCCCATAGCCTGATAGCCCTATAGCCCTATAGCCCTATAGCCCTATAGCCCTACAGCGCTATAACCCCATAGCCTTATAGCCCTATAGCCCTATAGCCTTACAGCCTTATAACCCTATAGCTCTATAGCCCTATAGCCCTGTAGCTCTATAGCTTTCTTTGTCTATAGCCCTATAACCCTATAGCCCTATAGCCCAATCACCCCATAGCCCTATAGCCCTATAGCCCTATAGCCCAATCGGCCTATAGCCATAGCCCTATAGCCCTACAGCCCTATAGCCCTATAGCCCTATAGCCTTACAACCTTGAGGAATAGGGGTAGGGGAGGATGACGAGGAGGACGGGGATGCAGGGACAGAGTGGGCGGGGGGATCACGAAGACGACGACGCCGCCGACCGAGGCAAGTCTCTGGAGGTTTCCCGAGGTCCCCGGATGTCTCCTCAGACGTCCTCAGAGACGCGCCAAAACCTTGTTTCTCGGGCCTGGAAACTCGATCCTAGAGTCGTCATCTCCGCCGCCGCCGTCGCCGTCGCCGCCGCCGCCGTCGCCGTCGCCGTCACCGTCGGCGCCGCCGTCGTCGTCGACGGCGTCGCCGTCGCCGTCGCCGTCGCCGCCGTCGTCGCCGCCGCCGCCGCCGCCGTCGCCGTCTCCCTCGCCGTCGCCGTCGCCGCTGTCGCCGTCGCCGTCGCCGTCGCCGCCGCCGTCGCCGTCGCCGTCGCCGTCGCCGTTGTCCCGCCGAAGTCCGCTCGGAAGGGATCCCCCGACTCCCCCTCGAGCTGCGTCCCGCCCTGGCGGCCAGGTTCTTTGAAGCGCCGCGAAGAGCCTCTGGGCTGTCGTCGTCGTCGTCGGGTCGTCTGTCGTTAGCCGTCTGTCGCCAGCCGTCAGTCTCGCCGTCGCCGTCGCACCCGTCGCCGTCGCCGTCGCCGTCGCCGTCGCCGTCGCCGTCGCCGTCGCCGTTGCCGTTGCCGCCGTCGTCGTCGTCGTCGCCGTCGCCGTCGCCGTTGCTGTTGCCGTCGCCGTTGCTGTTGTCGTTGCCGTTGCCGTCGCCGTCGCCGTCGCCGTCGCCGTCGCCGTCGCCACCGTCGCCGCCGCCGTTGCCGTCGCCGTCGCCGTCGCCGTTGCCATTGTCGCCGTCGTCATCGTCGCCGTCGCCGTCGCCGTCGCCGTCGCCGTCGCCGTCGTCGCCGTCGCCGTCGCCGTCGCCGTCGCCGTCGCCGTCGCCGTCGCCGTTGCCGTCGTCGTCGTCGCCGCCGCCGCCGCCGCCGCGCCGTCGCCGTCGCCGTCGCCGTCGCCGTCGTCGTCGTCGTCGTCGTCGTCGTCGTCGTCGTCGTCGTCGTCGCCGTCGCCGTCGCCGTCGCCGTCGCCGTCGCCGTCGCCGTCGCCGGCGTCGGCGTCGGCGTCGTCGTCGTCGTCGTCGCCGTCGCCGTCGCCGTCGCCGTCGCCGTCGCCGTCGCCGGCGTCGGCGTCGGCGTCGTCGTCGCTCGTGGTCGTCGTTGCTTGTCGTCGCTTGTCGTCGCCGTCTTCGACGTTTTCGTTGCCGTCGCCGTCGCCGCTGGCGTGATCGTCGTCGTCGACGGCGGCGTCGTCGCCGTCGCCGCCGTCGGGGTCGGGTGGCCGTCCTCCCACGGCGCAGAGAGCGCCGAGGTGTGCGAGCGGCGGCTGGAGCTCCGGGAGGCGCGGCCGGAGCAGGAGCGGGTGGTGGACCAGTGCCAGGCTCGCTCCACTGTCCGCCGACTTGCTGCATCTCTCATAATTAGGGGGTCACATGCGAACCCAGACATGATCGCGTCGTAACAAAAATCGGGACGGCAAGTTTTTGGCCAATTTCGGCCTCAGGGGGCCTTCGCCAGGCCTCGGGACCGTCAAAAAACGACGCAGGATGACAAAACCGGTCCCGGGAAACAGGTCGGGACTTCCAGGGACGCCGTCCTGAAAAAATCAGGACGTCGCATGTCTGGGAACCCTACCCCTACCCCCCACGATTTCTGAGGGGGAGAGTGGGGCTCGCATGTGGCGCCCTATCTCCCTCTCTCTCACTCTCTTTGTCACTCGAAGAAGAAGAAGAATAAGAAGAAGAAGAAGAAATGCCACGAACACAGACTTTTGGCGCTCCGCGCGGATTTCTTGGATCCGCGCTGGACCCCTGGTCGTGCCTCCGGCGGCGCCCCTGGCGTGCTCCGCGCGCCAGGGAGGGGGGGTCCAGCGCAGATCCACGAAGTCCGCGCCAAGCGCCCAAAGTCGGAAACTGGAACATATACATTACGAGTGGCGTGCTGTTTTTCAGTTCCTGGACTTTTTGAGGGTCAGGGACGACGTCGGGATGGTGTGGTGTATAGTTGTTTCCCCGTTTTCCTGGGGGAATGACGAACATGTATACACCAACATCCCGTGTACACCAGGATCCGCTTTGCTGTGCGAGTTTCAGTGCAGGGCCAGAAAAGGCGTCGGTGTATAGAGTTCGGTTCCCTAAAAAGTTCACGCTTATGGCGTATTTTCTTCGTCTAATCTCCCTTTACCGCTGCGCGCCGAGGTCCTTGCAACAAATCGTCACCCTGCGGCATGATGCGGTCCACATCGCATTTTTCACAGCGTCTCCGGAAGACAGCAGCTGCGTCGCTCAGGCTTGCCTATCCAACAGTGCCAGGCTCGCTGGGCTTTCCCCAGCTGCGCATGACCCTGAGATCTGTACGCTGCAACCTGTCACACCGGCCGTATTCGTCCGGTTTTGGTCCCCGGGGCCCTCGCAGATCGGGGCCGGGTTGCGGACATGCCGCAGCGGCGTCGGAGGTGCCGCTAGGGGGGCCCAGTGCCGATCCAAGAGATCCGCGCGGAGCTCCGATTCTCGGTGTTTTTATGCAGACTTGTTTCTTCTACAGTCAACGCGCATAGCAAGGACGAGCAACCTCCCAGGGTTCCCCTCTGCATCCTTCCCCATCGGCCCATCCCTGGTTGCTTTTGCTGGCCGCGCCCCGCTGGCAAAGTGCCGACATGGCCCTCCAAGGCCCCTGCATTCTTACCGTGCGCCCTTAGAATGCGGGTTGACTGTCGGCATCGCTGTCATCGCGTCGTCGTCGTTCCCGTCGTCGTCGTCGTCGTCGTCGTCGTCGTCGTCGTCGTCGTCGTCGCCGCGACCGACCGACCGACCGACCGGGTTGACTGCACTCTCCATGCTGCGCGTGAGAGTGGCCCTTCGCAGGGGCGGCCTCGGGATGCGCGGCGTGTGGGGAGCCGCCGCTCAGGCCGCTTGCTGCCGCAGCGCACGCAGCGATCGGCAGGCCGTGCACCAGAGGTCACTACTCGTGCCCAGGGCCGCTCTTGCCGGGGCCTTCAGAGGAGGGGGGAGGAGGAGGAGGAGGAGGAGGAGGAGGAGGAGGAGGAGGAGGAGGAGGAGGAGGAGGAGGAGGAGGAGGAGGAGAATGGGGGAGAGGGAGGGGGAGGGGAAGGTGGGAGAAGCAGGAGGAGGAGGAGGAGGAGGGGAGAAAGAAGGGGGGGCAGGAGGTGGTGTAGCCACATACCGCTGCCCCTCCCTCGCTTTCGCCTTCTTGGGCCTTCTGGGAGGCCCCCGTCGCCACCGCCAGATTTGCCTCGGAGTTCTGGTCAGAACGCACCCCAGGAGAGGTCGGGAATAGAAGTATCGGTACCGTTTGGTTTTCTCAGGCCTCATCGCCGTCATCGTCGCGGCCGCCGTCGTCCCCACCGCCGCCGTCGTCGTCGTCGCCGCCGCCGTCGTAGTCGCCGCCCTCGCCGCCGCCGTCGTCGTCGACGCCGCCGTCGTAGTTGTCGTCCTCGTCGACGTCGCAGTCGTCCTCGTCGAGAGTCGAGGTCCGAGTGTCGATGCGCACTGCTGTTTGCGCTTCTCGGTCCTCCGGAGACAGTCGGGGACTCGTCGTCGTGCTCGGGGTCGTCGTCGTCGTCGTCGTCGTCGTCGTCGTCGTCGTCGTCGTCGTCGTCGTCGTCGTCGTCGACGTGTTCGTGGCTGGAGGCGGGTTTTCGGTACTGAGGCGATTGCTTCCACTTCGAGTTGCGGGATGCTCCTGGGATGCTCCTGGGGCGCTCCCGCGAATGCCACGTGAGGACGCTGAAGCTCTCATACCCTGTCCGAATACGGTTCAGCACGAGGCCCGTGCTGTACGACCCACCGCAATTGCGCCCGGAAGGGGAAGCAAACAACAAACAATTAGAGCCTCCGCCTCCTGCCCGGGGAAGAGCTCTTCGTTCCGCGCTCGGTTCCCTTCTTTTGGGGGGGGATGGCGAGCGGCGGACGCGAAGGGTCTCCATCGGAGGGAGGAGAAGCGACACCAACATCTACGGGGGGCCATCTCCAGCGAGGAGGTCCCCGACGCCTCCCCGAGCGGGAGCTCCTGAAGGCTGGGGATGTCTCGAGCGAGAGTGGGGGACCACACCACCAGGGAGACCTCCTGGAGGGGGAGGAGGAGGAGGAGGAGAAGGAGGAGGAGGAGGAGGAGGAGGAGGAGGAGGAGGAGGAGAGCAGGATGATGATGATGATGATGATGATGATGATGATGATGATGATGATGATGATGATGATGATGATGATGATGATGATGATGATGATGATGATGATGATGATGATGATGAGGAGGAGGAGGAGGAGGAGGAGGAGAGGAGGAGGAGGAGGGAGGAGGAGGAGGAGGAGGAGGGAGGAGGAGGAGGAGGGAGGAGGAGGGAGGAGGAGGAGGAGGAGGAGGAGGAGGAGGAGGAGGAGGAGGAGGAGGCTGCTCTTCGCATCTCCTCGCCCTGATGGTGTCGGTGTCGCCTCGGCTTGCTCCTGCTCTGGCGCTCCCGCGGCCCCCGGAGCTCTCCGCAGGGAAGCCTCCCCGGGAGGCCTCCGCAGGAACCCCACTGGCGCCCCAGAAGGGCACGGAGACGCCCCACGAGCTCGATCCTGGGGCCTCGAGGCCCGATCCTCGGGGGAGGCAAAGGTTCAGAAGGGGAAAACACATGCAGCCACAAGGAATCGTCGATTCCCAGGATGATATGGGGAAGTATCGGAGGCGGGGGGGAAGACGAACACCCGGAACATATGGGAAATGTGGGAAATCCTGGGATTTGTGCCCATTTATCTGTGTGTCCCGGGGCCCCTTCAGAGGTACCCATACTGCTACTACCTTTGCCCCTGTTATCTTCTTTTTGGACCTGGGAGCCCCTCCTCGCCACGGCTGGGTTCGCCTCGAAATCTTGGTCAGGACGTACCCTTAAGTCGGGAGTGTTCCTCTACAGGAGGAAAATTCAAAAATAGTCCTACTAAAATAGTATAGGAATTACTTGTTGAGTATTTTTTGACTATCTTCGAGCATTTCTCGAGATTTTGTTATTTTCCGTCCAAAATCCGCCTATCGGGGGACAGGCCCGACCTGCGAGTAGCGGCATCGGTACCTTTGAGTTCCCCAGGTCCTCCAGTCGCCGCCCCCGCCGCCGCTCCAGAGTGGAAGGGGCACCGTTATTTATACAGCCACCGGCCCGGGGGCGCAGCGGATGCCGCTCGAGAGCGGCGTGCTGGAGAGCGCCCAGCCGTGCGATTTCCGACCACTTGTCGTTTGAAGCAGAGGGGGTCGGAGGATCGTGCCGCACGGCTGAACGGAACGTCAGAGGAGGAAAGGGTACCGGTACCGCTGCCCTTCGCCCGTTTTCCCCTCTCTGGGCCTCCTGGTAGGCCCTCGTCGCCACCCTTGGCTTCGCCTCGAGATTCTGGTCAGAACGCCCCCCGGAAGAGGTCTGGGGAGTAGCGTTACGTCGGGCACGTCCCCCCACGGGGGGAATATTCAAAAATGGTCTAAAAATAGTGCGGGGACGATTTGTTGATTATTCTTGTGCTGTTTTAGCGTATTTTTTTGAGTATTTCTTTTTGTTCGTCCAACATCTGCCTGCAGGGGGACAGGGCCTGACCTATGCGCAGCGGTCTCTTTACCTTCAGGTTTCCCCAGAGAGGGGGCCCACGCTGCCCCTGCCCCGGCGGGCGGCGCACCAGGCCACCTGCGCCACCGCCAGTGGGGAGGTCCGGCCTCCATCCCCCGGAGGCCGGTTCCCTGCCCTCGTGTGGAGGCTTTCCCCGCGCCTGCTCTCCCCCGTCCTTGTCTTTCCACGCTGCCCCTGTGGAGGGCGACCACTGTGGAGGAAGCGTGCTGCCAAATCATATCCATATGTCCAAAACATGTATGAAACATGTTGTAAACATGTGAATCACATGTTTTAAACGTGTTTAGAACACTTTTCCTACATGGTACATTGTAAATTCAAGGATGGGACTGTTAGGGTGTCCATTGTCGTGGCATCCACAACGCTACCCCTTCGTGTGCTTGTCATTGCTTATCCCTCTCCGCGACAGCGATCAGTGAGTTGAAGCGGTTCCGCTTCTTATCAGCAGTCGGAGTCTCAAGCGTGCGTCGAGGCGGGTGCGACCGGCCGACCGTCTTGCCTCTCCCATCTGATCGAGGCCGATCTGCTAATTCTGCGGCGTTTTGGAGCTGTGCGGGAGAAGACAGAGACTGGAGGCTCGATTTCGGGAATCGGTGTCCTCGATCCTCCGGGGACGATGGCGGCGGCGGCGGCGACGACGACCTTCAGGGGCAACGTTCGGGGGGACAGAGGTGCAGGGGGAGCGCATCGACCCCCGATCGCCCAATATTCGCCGATGGGGGCCCGATATCAGGAGGGGAAGATGGGAAAATATGGGGAATCCTGTTAGTTGTGTGTATATATACACTTATATATATATATATAGATATATACATATATACGTGTGTGTGTGTGTGTGTGTGTGTGTGTGTGTGTGTCCCAGGGCCTCCTCATATTTGGGGCATATCGCCGATCTACTGGCGATGTATCGCCGATTCTAATTCGATGCCCTCCCCCTGAGCTGGCCACCCTCTAACACTTGTGGAAGTCGATTAATGGAGAAGAAGTGTGCTGCCAAATGGTTCCCAGATGCCTAAAAGATGTTTCAACCATGTTAAATATGCTTAGGCATGGTTGATACATTTTTAGAACATGTTACACACATTTTAAACACATGTTTAATTCAATGATAGGATTGTTAGAGTGTCCATTGTCATGGCATCCACAACTCTAACATTGCCCCTCAGAGGCGACGACGACGACGACCTGGTGGCTGTTTCTCTCCATCCTGGAGCCGTTTTTTTTGTTCCCGTCCAAACTGGAGAATCGACGTCCGAAATTGAGGTTCTCGAGGGCCGACCTTGAGATCCGACGTTGCGAAACAATTTCAAATTGCGAGCAATCACGATTTGAGCTCCAGACCCCGTCTTTCAGCGGCATTTCTCGAGCCAGATCGATCTGCCAGGGTCCTAGGAGCCGAAGATGGGTGAACACGCCCAGTGTGAAACAAATGCGACGCCTGGATGTCAGGGGGCGACGACGGCGGCGGCGGCGACCCCTGACACTCGCCGATTTGATTTTTTCCAACCATCCTGTGGTGTCGGGTCCTCGTGTAGAAGAGACGGCGCCCCGCGTTCTCCTCCTCCCGCCTCCTTCCTCCTCCCTTCTCTTCCCCCCCTCTTCCCCCTCATCCTTTTTCCTTGCGTTTCACCCACCCAGTACAGCGTTTCGTGGCCCCACAGAGAGCTCCGCCGAAGACCCCATCGCCACCGCCCGCATGCGTCACGCACGCCCATCCCGGCACACCCCTCACACTTTTCGTGGCCCCATAGGGGGAGCTCCACCGAAGGCCCCAGCGCCACCGCCCGTATGCGTCACGCACACCCAATTAGGCTTTCCTCACGCGTTTCTTGGCCCCATGGGGAGCTCCACCGAAGGCACCAGTGCCACCGCCCGCATGCGTCACGCACACCCATTTCTGCACACCCTCGCACGTTTCGTGGCCCCACAGGGAACTCCACCGAAGGCCCCAGTGCCACCGCCCGCATGCGTCACGCACCCATTTCGGCACACCCCTCGCACGTTTCGTGGCCCGACGAAGAGCTCCACCGAAGGCCCCAGCGCCACCGCCCGCATGCGTCACGCACACCCATTTCGGCACACCCCTTGCACTTTTCGTGTTTCTAGGGAGCTCCACCGAAGGCCCCCGTGCCACCGCCCGCATGCGTCACGCACGCCCATTCCGGCACACCCCTCACACTTTTCGTGGTCCTAGGGAGCTCCACCGAAGGCCCCAGTGCCACCGCCCGCATGCGTCATGCATTAACTTCGGCACACTTGTCGCGCTTCGTGGCCCCATAGGGAGCTCCACCGAAAGCCCCGTCGCCACCGCCCGCATGCGTCACGCACGGCCATTTCTGCACGCCCCTCACACGTTTTGTGGCCCCACGAAGAGCTCCACCGAAGGCCCCAGCGCCACCGCCCGCATGCGTCACGAACACCCATATCGACACACCCTCACACGTTTCGTGGTCCTAGGGAGCTCCACCGAAGGCCCCAGTGCCACCGCCCGCATGCGTCATGCATTAACTTCGGCACACTTGTCGCGCTTCGTGGCCCCACAGGGAGCTCCACCGAAAGCCCCGTCGCCACTGCCCGCATGCGTCACGCACGGCCATTTCTGCACGCCCCTCACACGTTTTGTGGCCCCACGGAGAGCTCCACCGAAGGCCCCAGCGCCACCGCCCGCATGCGTCACGAACACCCATATCGGCACACCCCTCACACGTTTCAGGGCCCTTTAGGAAGCTCCACCGAAGGCCCCCGTGCCACCACCCGCATGCGTTACGTACACCCATTTCGGCACACCCCTCGCACGTTTCGTGGCCCCACAGTGAGCTCCGCCGAAGGCCCCATCGCCACCGCCCGCATGTGTCACGCACACCAACTTCGGCACACTTGCCACGTCTCGTGGCCCCACAGGGAGCTCCACCACACGTTTCGTCGCACCTTTAGGGAGCTCCACCCAAGGCCCCAGTGCCACCGCCCGCATGCGTTTCGCACGCCCATTCTGGCACACCCCTCACACTTTTCGTGGCCCCACAGGGAGCTCCACCGAAGGCGCCAGTGGATGCGTTCGCATGCGCCCACCGTGCCCATTTCTGCACACCCATCACACGTTTTGTGGCCCCATAGGGAGCTCCACCGAAGGCGGCTGTGTTCGCATGCGCCCACCGCACCCAGTTCGGCAAACCCTCGCACGTTTCGTGGCCCCATAGGGAATTCCACCGACAGCCGCAGTGGCTGCTTTCGCATGCGCCCACCAGACAAATTTTGGCACATCCCTCACGTTTCGTGGCCCTACAGGGAGCTCCTCCGAATGCGGTGCATGCAACGACGGTGTTCACAACTGCATATGGTTGGGTCCTTCGCCAGGCTAATTTCAATGCGCGGCCCCAGAGGTCCCGACCGCTTCCCCAGGGGTAGTTCTTTCCACCACGGATCCATTTTTGACACCCCCTGGGCCCGACTGCGGGCCTCGGAGACCGCATGGTCCCAGAGTTTGGAAAATCATGCCGTTGGAGGTCTGGGACAACGGCGGCGGCGGCGGCGGCGACGACGACGACCTTCTGATGGCCCCTTCGAAAGTGTGGCCAATACCGAATCAGGACACGATGGATGCAGTTTGTTCTACGATGTACATGCTAATCCCACGGACCTCCTGCCATAAAGCTATTGGGGGTGTAGCGCTTGTCACCGCTCGTGGGCGGAACCGAAACGCTATATACGAGCAGGGGTTGGTTACAGTCGGACCAATGTGCAAGATCAAGGCCAGTTCGGGAAGGGTGCCCCAGTGTTCCCCGTGCTTGTTGGCTGTTTTCGTGCATCTTGGGGAGGGTACTCTCGGTTGTTCTGGGTGTTTTTTTGCCGGCGGAAGGTTCTTGAAGGATGCTCTTCTGTTCTAGGTCCGATTGTATTACAGTCAGCCCGCACAGTAAGGCTGAACGGTTTTCCAGGGTTGCCCTTGCATCCTTCCCCCTCGGCCCATCCGTGGCCGCTTTCGCGGGCCGCGCCCCGCCCGCAAAGCGTCGACCTGGCTCTCCAAGGCCCTTGCATCCTTAATAGTGCGCCCTCATGGTGCAGACTGGCCGCACCGCCAGGCGGCCCTCGAGGCCGAACGGCGTACGCTGGTGGACTCCCGGGAGCAGCTGCTGCGCCTGGCGGGGCAGGCTGCGCAGTCCCTGCTGAGGCCGCCGGCGGCCCCGCCCGACGGTCGACGGTCGACGGTCGACGGTCGACGACGACGACGACGACGACGACGACGACCACGACGACGACCACGACGACGACGACGACGACGACGACGGTCGACGACGACGACGACGACGACGACGACAGTCGTCGTCCCTGCTGAGGCCGCCAGCGGCCCCGCGCCGCTTCGGCGGCGGCGGCGACTGACGACTGACGACGGACGACTGACGATTGATCAGAGGATGAGGCGGGGGTGCCGAGACCGCCACCCTTCCCCGTAGTCGTCCGTCGTCAGTCGTTTGTCGTCCGTCGTCCGTCGTCAGTCGTTAGTCGTCTGCCGAGACGGACGACTGACGACTCACGATGGATGACTGACGATACGAGTGACCGACGACCACCCTTCCCTCGCTTTTGCCTCTTTTGGCCTCCTTGGAGGCGCTCGTCGCCACGGGTGGAACCGCTTAGAAGCTCCGCACTCCAGGAGAGGTCCCGGGAGTGGCGGTATCGGTGCCTTGTAGTTCTCCCAGCTGACGACTGACGACGACCGACGACGACGACCCCTGTGATTTATTTGGGCGTTGTAGTTTTTCCACACCTTGCGTTTTCGCATAGTGTCGGGCCCCAGGGCCATCACAGATCGACCTGGCTCGAAAAACGATGCAGAGGGATGTTGTCTACGGCCTCAGGTCGTGATTTTGCGTGGTGATGGCACTTGTTTGCGCCGTCGGATCTCAGGGACGGACGACTGACGACCGACGACGACGATCCTACGACGAGGGGGGGGTAGTTGCGAGAGTTTCTCGGGGCCTGAGAGACGGGGGTTCAGCCAGGGCGCCCGATCTTGCAGGATCCTGCAGGGCCAGGCGTGCATTGGCCCGAGTTTGGCTGCAGGATCCTACAGGATCCCGCAGGATCTTACAGGATCTTGCAAGGCCTGACTGGCCCGGGTCTGGATTGACCCGGGTCAGTAGATCCCTGAGTTCCCCTATGTCTATGTTTTTCCAAAGTCTTCGAGGCCGAAGGTGGTTTCCATCAGCTGCGCTTCGTCGAGAGCGTTCCGTGTGTGCCGGAATCGTCCCGAACGGCCGCCCGAGGCCCGAGTGATGGCTCGGAAACCAGGTCCGCGGCGCGTACAAGTCCAGGCCTCCTAGATAGGGTCTGAACACAATGGGGTCGGAGGATTGTGCCGCATCGCCGATGCATCGGCGATGCGGCTCGATGTGGAGCCCGAGAGTTTGTCCGCGCCAGCGTCGCCGATGTGTCAGCGATGCGGCGCGCTCCTCCGACCCCATCTGCTCGGACCCCATCTTGGGGCGCCTCTAGACGACGATGCAGAGTTTTCCTCTTCTCGGGGCAGCGTGGTAGGATTCCTAGGTTCGTGCCGCCTGGCGTTGTTTTCTCCTCACCAGTGTTTCCGACGTTGAGCACCCGTCCTCCCGCGCATGCGGAGGAAAAGGTGCTCCCATGGAAGGGGTCGGGATCTCTGGGGCCCATCGTGAGAAATCGCGACTGGATCCCTGGACTCCGCCTTTCTGCGGCCTTCTTCTTGCGGGATCGATCTGTGATGGCCCCAGGGCCCGAAGCTGGGGGAAAATGTGCGGGGCGAAAAAATGCGACGCCCAGATCTCAAGGGTTTCTCAGGGGGGCGCGGACCAAACAAAAACACATCGTCGGATGTATGAATCCCTGCCGCGCACCGCTCCTAGGCTTGACGCGGTGAAGGGCGAGCTCGTGCGCGACCTCCAGGCGAAGCGGCAGTCCCTGCGGACAGCCGCCAGAGCATAGCTTTTTTTTATTTATCTCTCTCTATATATATGTGTATATCTATACGCACATGTTTTTGTATACGCTACGAAAGTACATGTATACACATACATAAGTATGAAAATATGTATACTATAGATGTATAGGCATATACGCACATATACATACCCATATGTACACACATCCACATACATATACATGTATGCGCACCTACAGATATACATACATACATATTTACATTCTTACTTCTACATTTGCATGGCACATTTACGTGGTTCGTAAATCTTTGTATACACGTATACATAGATGAACACATACATGCACACACATCTTCGAATGTACAAAGGAAGGTATGTCTATACACACGTGTACACATACACATACACTGATACATACATCATACCCATCAATATATATATATATATATGTCGGAGGTGAGGGGGTGAGATCGAAGTGGAACGGAGAGCCCCCCTACCGGGAAATCGATTTCGGTTTCGTGTTCGTGCGTGCCGTGTGTGCGGGCGAGGCGAAGCTGCGTGGGCGGGCGAGAAGAAAGTCTCCTGTGGCTGAGGCGCGGCCGGACCAAATGACTCCCTTCCGGCAACCGGTTGCCCGCGGTGTCCCGCCGGTGTCCCGCCTCCGGCTGAGGCGCGGCCGGACCAAATGACTCCCTTCTGGCGTCCGGTGGCCCGCGGTGTCCCGCCGGTGTCCCGTCGGTGTCCCGATGATGCTGATGATGATGATGATGATGATGATGATGATGATGATGATGATGATGATGATGATGTCGATGATGTTGATGATGATGTTGATGATGATGGTGATGGTGATGATGATGGTGTCCCGATGATGATGATGATGTTGACGATTTTGATGATGATGATGTTGGTGATGGTGGTGATGATGATGGTGCCCCGATGGTGATGGCGATGATGATGATAATGTTGCTGATGATGATTATGGTGTCTCGATGACGATGAAGATGTTGATGATCTTTATGATGTTGCTGATGATGAAATGATGGTGATATGATGATGAGTATGATGAAGATGGTGTCTCGATGATGATGATGAAGTTTATTGTGTTGCTGTTGATGATGATGATGGTGATGATGATGGTGTCCCGATGATGATGATGATGTTGATGATGATGGTGATGACGATGATGGTGGCCCGATGATGATGATTATGATGTATAATGATGATGAGGACGATGATGCGGTGATGATGATGATGATTTTGATGATGGTGGCCCGATGATGATGATGATGCTGATGTTGATGATGATTGTGTCCCGATGATGATGATGGTGATCATGATGGTGATGATGATGATTGTGTCCCGATGATGTTGATGATGATGCTGATGATGATGGTGTCCCGATGATGATGGTGTTGCTATGTTGTTCATGATGATGAGATGATGATGATGTTGGTGTTCCGATGATGATGGTCGTGTTCCGATGATCGTGATGTTGATGATGATTATGACGATGATGGTGTCCCGATGATGGTGATGATGATGATGATGATTTTGCTGATGATGGTGATGAGGTTGTGATGATGATGATGATGGTGTCCCAATGATGATGATCATGATGATGTTGATGATGTTGATGACGATGATGTTGTTGATGATGATTATGGTGACGTGGATTGTGTGATATCGTTTGTGATATCGATAGTGATATCGATAGTGAGACCGAATGTGAGATCGATTTGAGATCGGTAGTGATATCGATATTGAGATCGATCGTGAGATCGATAGTCAGATCGATTGTGAGATCGATCGAATGAAATACATCGAGTGAGATCGATCGAGTGCGATCAATCTAGCGACACCGACAGTGAGATCGATAGTGCTATCGATGGTGAGACCGATCGAGTGAGACGTTGGTTCCTCCCCCCCCCGAACCTCCTTATCACCAGAAGGGTGGGCGTATAGGTATATACATAGGTGTAACCATGCATATTTATATATATATATATATAGTCGTTACGTTTGTTCATACAAATACATATATAGGTCTATGCGCAAATACAACTCTCGGAGGTTGGGGGGTGAGATCGAAGTGGAACGGAGAGCCCCCCACCAGGAAATCGGTTTCGATTTCGTGTTCGTGCGTGCCGTGCGTGCGGGCGAGGCGAAGCTGCGTGGGCGGGCGAGAGGAAAGTCTCCTGTGGCTGAGGCGCGGCCGGACCAAATGATTCTCCCTCCATCAGGCGGTGGCCCGTGGTGTCCCGCTGGTGTCCCGCCGGTGTCCCGCTTGTGGCTGGATCCCGGCCAGACCAAGTGATTCTCCCTCCGGCAAGCGGTGGCCCGCGGTGTCCTGCCGGTGTCCCGCCGGTGTCCCGCCGGTGTCCCCATGTCCCGCTGGTGCGAAAACGATAGTGAGACCGATAACGAAATCGATTGTGAGATCGATAGTGAGATCGATAGTGAGACCGATTGTGAGGTCGATCGTGAGATCGATAGTGAGATCGATAGTGAGATGAATAGTGATATCGATTGTGAGATCGAGTGATATTGATAGGGAGATCGATAGTGGGATCGATAGCGAGATCCAGGGTGAGATCGACAGTGAAATCGATCTTGTGAGATCGATAGTGAGATCGATCGAGTGAGATCGATAGTGGGATCGACGGTCCCAAGAGTGATCGGCAGCGCAACAACCACCACTGTTGCGCATTGCTGGCCCCCCTCCCTCCCCAACCTCCTTATCACCCGCAGGGTGGTCGTAGAGGTACATATTTACACATATTCATTGACACACGCATCTGTACATACACACAAACACACATGTACATTCTGTGTTCAAAATCATATTCGCACATGTGTACATATATATATATGTTATTAGATACGTTTGTATACGCATATGTACACATACATGCACATCTATGTACATCCGTCTATGCAACTACACATACATAAATATGTACGTATATGCTCACCAATGAATACACGCATATACGTACATATGTGTATATATACGCATACACACATATATATATGTATATATATATATATATGGTAGCACCCCCCCCCAGCACCCCACCGATTCATGTTTCTGAAAATCTTGTTTTGAAAACGTTGGTGTGTTTGGTTTGAATGGCTTCGCTGTTTCAACGCTCGTTGCTCTTGGAAATCCTGCTGAGGAAGATTACAATGATATTCTTTTGAAGGGGTCCCAATCGGATTTTTTTTAAAGCTGCTTTGGCCCTAGTGAAAGGGCAAGGAAACAGAAAACCACCAACAACACGAAATCCAACAAAAACAAAGCGAAAACCAACAACATTAATAACCAAGGCAGAACAACCAACACAACCAATGGTTTTCAATAGTTTTCCCTTCTATCATTTACAAAATGAAACCCTTGTGTGGCGGAATACAAAAGGATCCCTTTTGTGGCGGAATACACAAGGAGTTCTTTTGTGGCGGAATACACAAGGATTTTCTTTTGTGGCGGAATATTAAAGGGTTTCTTTTGTAGTGGACTACAAAAGGATTCCTTGTGTGGAGGAATACAAAAGGATTCCCTTTGTGGCGGAATACACAAGGATTTCCTTTTGTGGCGGAATACCAAAGGATTCCTTTTGTGTCGGAATACAAAAGGATTTCCTTTTTGGTGGAATACAAAAAGATTCTTTTTGTGGCGGAATACAAATGAAAACAAATGGTTCTGCAATATTTTCCATGGAAAACTATTGAAAACTATAGGTTTTTTTTTTTGCCTTGGTTATTACTTTTGTTGGTGTTCGCTTTGTTTTTGTTGAATTTCGTGTTTTTGTTGGTTTTCTGCTTTTGCCCCTGGGCCTGCGGTTGCCCTGTTAGCAACGGAGGAGGGTGAGAAACCAGAAAACCAACAACAACACGAAATCCAACAAAAACAACGCGAAAACCAACAAAATTAAGAACCAAGGCAGAAAAACCAACAAAACCAATGGTTTTCAATAGTTTTCCTTTCTATCAATTACAAAAGCAAACCCTTGTGTGGCGGAATGCAGAAGGACCCCTTTTGTGGCGGAATACAAGAGGAGTTCCTTTGTGGCGGAATACACAAAGATTTCCTTTTTGTGTCGGAATACAAAAGGATTTCTTTTGTAGAGGAATACAGAAGGATTCCTTTTGTGGAGGCATACAAAAGGATTCCCTTTGTGGCAGGATACACAACGATTCCATTTATGGCGGAATACAAAAGGATTCTCTTTGTGTCGGAATACAAAAGGATTCCCTTTGTGGCGGAATACAAAAGGATTCCTTTTGTGGCGGAATACACATGAAAACAAATGATTTTGCAATGTTTTCAATGGGAAACTTTTGAAAACATTTTTTTTTTTTTTTTTTTTTTTTTTTTTTTTTGCCTTGGTTATTACTTTTGTTGGTGTTCGCTTTGTGTTTGTTGGATTTCGTGTTTTTGTTGGTTTTCTGCTTTTGCCCCTGGGCCTGCGGCTGCCCTGTAGCAGCGGAGGAGGGTGGGAAACCAGAAAACCAACAACAACACGACATCCAACAAAAACAAAGCGAACACCAACACAATTAATAACCAAGGCAGAAAAAACCAACAAAACCAATGGTTTTCAATAGTTTCCCCTTCTATCAATTACAAAAGCAAGCCCTTGTGTGGCGGAATACAAAAGGACCCCTTTTGTGGCGGAATGCAAAAGGAGTTCCTTTGTGGCGGAATACACAAGGATTTCCTTTTGTTGCGGAATACAAAAGGATTTCTTTTGTAGAGGAATACAAAAGGATTCTTTTTGTGGAGGAATACAACAAGGATTCCCTTTGTGGCGGAATTCAGAAGGATTCCATTCGTGGCGGAGTACAACAGGATTCTCTCTGTGTCGGAATACAAAAGGATTCCCTTTGTGGCGGAATACAAAAGGATTTCTTTTTTGGCGGAATACACATGAAAACAAATGGTCTTGCAATGTTTTCAATGGTGAACTTTTGAATACACTTGTTTTTGTTTGTTATTCTGCCTTGGTTATTAATTTTGTTGG